CTGCCTGCTTCCCTTTCCATGTTTGCAGTTGTTGTGGTAAGGACCTACTGCATGCTGTAGCTCCCTTCCTCAATGAATCGTTGCATTACTAATATCTAAAAATAAAACACAGAGAATAAAAATCAGTAGTTACTAGGAGTGGAAGGGGAGAGGAAGGAAATGGAGAGATATAGGTCAGAGGATACCGAGAAACGTATGTATGATAGACAAGGGTATAGAGACTTCATGATATAGTCTGAGGACCATAAGTGATAAAATTTATTGCATATGAGATTCATGCTAAGTGAGTTGCTTTTGCCACAAAAACAAAACATAATTATGTAAGATGGTAGAGATATGTTCATTTGTTTCAGTGTAGTAACCTTTTATTGTCTATATACATCTTAAATAACCATAGTAAAATTTATAAAAAAATATTTTGATAGGTGGTTTCTTAAATTTCACTAGCTTAACACAAAAGAACTTTTATCTACATGAGATCCAAAATGAGTATTAGCACATGGCAGGTGGTATTATTTTCAATAGTCCTTTAGGAATTCAGGTATTTCCATTTTGTAGCCTTTTCATATTCAATAGACAACTTCTAAAATTACTGCACACTTTATACTATATGGACAGAGAAAAACTCTGAACACAGGTGGCTCAAGCCTTGTAATCCTGGCTACTCAGCAAGCCGAGATCTGAAGGATCTCAATGCAAAGCCAACCCAGTCTGACAGACAACTATCTCCAAAATAACTAGCAAAAAGCTGGGATAAAGGCATGTCTCAAAAGTGGTAGAGTTCCAGGCAAGTAAGTGCAAGGCTTTCTATACAACCCCCCCCCCCAAAAAAAGGAAAAAACAACAACAACATAAAGGCCACATGTGGAATTGTTTTATGACTAGGCCTGGAAGTTAGCATTAATCATTTTTACTGTTATTGGCAGAATCTAGTCACCTGTCACCAGTTACCTGACTAATGAAGCAAAGAAAGAGGTGCTGGCTGAGTTAATTGCTTAGAGAAGTAATTGAAGGCAAGTTTCCTTTAAAATTTCTTTATTTTAATTAAGTTTTTTATTGTGAAAATACTGTGCAGAGAGGTTACAGTTACATGAGCAAGGAAATGAGTACATTTCTTATCCAGCATTGTTGCCTCCTCCTTTGTTTTCCCCCTATCATCCCTTCCATCCCAACTCCTCAGCTACACCCCCCCACATCCCACTTCCCCAACCCCCCGCCTAAATTGTAAAGTTCGTTTTTTTGACATAGCGTCTTGTACATCTCATTGTTGCAATGGGTCAATCTGTATCCCTATTTAAAACAGTTTGTTTTTTCCCTTCCCCAATACAGTGAAAACAGGGGTTATACCGTGGGGGAGGGACATACAAAGCAACAAAAAAACAACCACATGGTACCTTAGAAACAATAGCAAGGAAGAAAAAAACACTTGTGTCCCTATCTTGGGGTTCATTTCACTTAACATCATCTTATCTGACCTTTTCTGCTTGTCCCTTGCAAAGAAGGGAAACCATGGGACCTATGTTTCTTTGGGCTTGGCTTACTTCACTTAATATATTTTTTTCCAAGTCTTTCCATTTCCTACAAATGGAGTGATGTCATTCTTTCTGATGGAGGCATAGAATTCTTTTTTTTTTTTTTTTATAGTTTAGCATATGTCTCAGTTTAGACTTTTATTTTTATTTTTTTTATTTTTTTAAATTTTATTTTATTTTATTTGAGAACATACTGTACAGAGGGGTTACAATTACATGGGCAGGATAATGCATACATTTCTTACCAAGCATTGCAGCCTCCTCCTTTGTTTACCCTTCACCTCCCTTCCCGCCTCCCCCCTCCCCCCCACCCAATCCTCCCCCCCCTCCCCCCCCACACCGACATTGTAAAGCTCGTTTTTGACATGACATTTTGTACTTCTCATTGTTGCAACAGGTCCACCTGAATCCTTAAACGACTTGTTTGTCCCCATCTCCTCCACATGTTATACTGACATCAAATACAGTGAAAGCGGGGGTTACACTGTGGGGGAGGGACATACAAAGCAACCAAGAAATAATCTTATAAATGCGTTAGAAACACATGCATGAAAGAAACAAAAACATTAAAATACATATTTGAGGGTTCGTTTTCCTAACATCACATTCTCTGACTTTTTCCGCTTGACTCATACCTATACTAGATATTGCAAATAAGGGAAACCATGGGACCTATGTTTCTTTGGGCCTGGCTTACTTCACTTAATATAATTTTTTCCAAGCCTTTCCATTTCCTAACAAATGGGGCAATGTCATTCTTTCTGATGGAGGCATAGAATTCCATTGTGTATATATACCACATTTTCTTGATCCATTCATCTACTGAGGGGCATCTGGGTTGGTTCCATATCTTAGCTATGGTAAATAATGCTGCAATAAACATAGTTGTGCTGGTAGCTTTAGTGTGGTCTTTTTTGTAAACATTAGGGTAAATGCCCAAAAGTGGGATTTCTGGGTCATAGGGGAGTTCTATGTGAAGTCTTTTGAGGAACCTCCATACTGCTTTCCAAAGTGGTTGAACAAGTTTACATTCCCACCAACAATGAAGTAAGGTTCCTTTCTGTCCACATCCCCTCCAGCATCTGTTGTTGTTAGAGTTCTTGATTTTTGCTGTTCTAACTGGAGTGAGGTGATATCTCAATGTTGTTTTGATTTGCATTTCTTTTATGGCTAGGGATGTTGAACATTTCTTCATGTGTCTATTGGCCATCCTTCTTTCTTCTTCAGAGAAGCTTCTCTTTAAGTCCTTCGCCCACTTACTTATTGGGCAGTTGTTTCTTTGAGGATTTGTTGTTGGGTGGTTTAATTTTTTGAGTTCCAAGTATATTTTAGATATGAGACCCTTGTCCGTTGTATGGCTAGTAAAGATCTCCCAATCCGTGGGCTTTCTATTGATCTTGCTAGCTATGTCATTTGCCCTGCAGAAGCTCTGCAACCTTATGCAATCCCATTTGTCCAACCTTTCTTTGATTTGTTGTGCTTCCGGGTCTCTATTCAGAAAATTTCGGCCTGAGCCAAGGAGACCCAGGGTTTCTCCTATTCCATCCTGTAATGTTTTCAGAGTGTCTGCTTTGAGTTCAAGGTCTTTGATCCATTTGGAGTTGATTCTGGTGCAGGGTGATATATAAGGATCTAGCTTTAGTTTTCTACATGTAGTTAACCAGTTTTGCCAGCACCATTTACTGAAGAGGCTGTCTGTCTTCCATTCTATTGTTTTAGCTCCCTTATCGAAGATTAGATGGCTATAGGTCTGTAGGTTCATTTCTGGGTTTTCAATTCTATTCCATTGGTCCTGAGGTCTGTTCTTATGCCAATACCAAGCTGTTTTGATTACTATGGCTTTATAGTAGAGTTTGAAATTTGGTATTGATATTTGGAGGCATAGAATTCTAATTGTGTATATATACCACATTTTCTTGATCCATTCATCTACTGAGGGTTGTTTGCATATCTTAGCTATGGTAAATAATGCTGCAGTAATCATAGTTGTGCTGGTAGCTCTAGTATGGCCTTGTTAGTGATCATTTGGGTAAATGCCCAAAAGTGGGATTGCTGGGTCATAGGGGAGCTCATTGTGGAGTCTTTTGAGGAACCTCCATACTGCTTTCCAAAGTGGTTGAACAAGTTTACACTCCCACCAACAATGCAGTAGGGTTCCCTTCTGTCTACATCCCCTCCAATATCTATTGTTATTAGAGTTCTTGATTATAGCCATTCTAACTGGGATGAGGTGCAATCTCAATGTTGTTCTGATTGGCATTTCTTTTATGGCCAGAGAGGTTGGACATTTCTTCATGTGTCTATTGACCATTCTTATTTCCTCTTCAGAGAAATTTCTCTTTAAGTCTTTAACCCACTTATTTATTGGGCAGTTGTTTCTTTGAGGGTTTGTTGTTGGAAGATTTAATTTTTTGAGTTCCAGGTATATTTTAGATATGAGACCCTTGTCTGTTGTATGGCTAGTGAAGATCTCCCAATCTGTAAGCTTTCTATTGATCTTGCTAGCTATATCCTTTGCCATGCAGAAGCTCTGCAACTGCATGCAATCCCATTTGTCCAATCTTTCTTTGATTTATTATGTTTCTGGGTCTCTATTAAGAAAATTTCGGCCTGTGCCAAGGTTTCTCCTATTCCTTCCTGTAATGTTTTCAGGGTGTCTGCTTTGACTCCAAGGTCTTTGAACCATTTGGAGTTGATTCTGGTGCAGGGTGATATATAAGGATCTAGCTTTAGTTTTCTATAGGTGATTAACCAATTTTGCCAGTACCATTTACTGACTGAAGAGGCTGTCTTTCTTCCATTTTACTTTTTTTAGCTCCCTTATTGAAGATTAGGTGGCTATATGTCTGTGAGTTCATTTCAGGGTTTTCAATTCTATTCCATTGGTCCTGAGTTCTTGTGCTAGTAGCAAGCTGATTTGATTACTATGGCTTTGTCGTAGAGTTTGAAATTTGGTATTGATATTCTTCCAGCACTGTTCTTTCTGTTAAGGATCGTTTTTGCTATTCAGGGTCTTTTATTGTGCCATATGAATTTTTGTATTGCCTCTTCTATTTCCTTGAAGAATGAGGTCCAAATATTGATAGGTATCACATTTTTGTAGATAGCCTTGGGAAGTATTACCATTTTAACAATGTTGACCCAGGAGCATGGGAAGTTTTTTCCACTTTCTAAGTTCTGTTTTGATTTCCTTTTTCAGGTTTTTAAAGTTTTCATCATAAAGGTCCTTTTCTTCTTTGGTTTATTCCTAGGTATTTTATTTTTTGTGGGCCAATTACAAATGGAGCTGCTTTCCTGATTTCAGCCGTGCTCTTCTCATAGTTGGCATACAGAAAAGCCATTGATTTTTGAGGGTTACTTTTATACCCTTCTACTTTTTCTTTGGAAATTCTTATTTCACTGTTTTTATAGATTTTTTAGATTGATATGAGAAGGAGTGACCACAGATATGATTCTCTGCCTGGTCAGTTTTAGGTCCTGCACCTTGACAGCTCACTGGGATTTGGCTCTTCCTTCTTCCCTTGTGTTGGATTCTCTGCTGACCACCCTGCGCATGACTTATAGAGGAAGAAAGCTGGTGAAACCACTGACAAAAAGTTCAGGTGATCTACTTACCTCATTCCTTCTCTAGCATGATTAGAATAAACCCTGCTCTTAGCTACTAACCCTTGCCAATCTGTGGTATGTGGTACTCAATGCAATTTTTTTTGTTTGTTGGTTGTGGGGCCTGAACTCTGGGCCTGGGTGCTGTCCCTCAGCTCTTCAGCTCAAGGCTAGCGCTCTACCACCTGAGCCATGGTGCCACATCTGGCTTTTTCTGTCTATGTGGTGCTGAGGAATCGAACCCAGGGTCTCATGCATGCAAGGCAAGCACTCTACTGAGCCACCTTCCCACCCCGCATTTTTTTTTTTTTTGCTTTTGCAGATTTTTTTCATTGTATTTCTTTTGCTTAAATTCAGTGCCTGCTCCATTCTATTCCCCTCCCTTTATTTTTGATTAGCAAAACCCCATCCTCTCAAATCCAGCTCAAATAATATCTCCTGTACTTTTTTTTTTTTTTTTTTTTTTTTTTTTACCAATTTCTCATAGCTGAGTCCTCTCAGACCCCTTGGAGCTTGGTTTCATCATTGTGGTAGCACTTGACTGCCTAGTAGAGTAGATGCTTATGTATGAGTATTGTCATCCATTAGATTTAAAACTCAAAGTTGAGACTGTGACTTTCTCATATTACTTGCTCCTTGTAGAGTCTTGTACCTGGTAAATTTTAATAAGTAAGTGAAAAATAAATAAATCCTGGTGATTGTGGGGAAACAATGGCAGATAGAATGAAGTTCATTTTGGAAAACCAGTTTTATGAGGCCACAAATCACAAAAATACAGAAGTAAAATAAGAAGGGAGGTAAGGCCTGTCTTAATTCCTTTACATCTTTCATGATAATAGAGATACAATTTACATTCTTTATAGGGATATATTAGGGCTCCAAAGTCTGTGAAAGTTATAATATCATCCAAGATATTAAAAAAGTCAAGAGATTGAGAACCCACCATTTTTAGTCTTGACTTATTTTTACAGTCTTGACATATTAATGGAAGCAAATTGAGATTTTGGTTGGTTATAGGGAGCATGTTATATTAATCCTCAGGAGAATACTTTTGAGTTTGAAATATTATAATAGCTCCTTTAGGCCTTTTAAAATGTATGTAAAACACCTTTAAATGGAAGATAATGAATTGACAAGAGACTAGGAAATATTAAGTTGTTGTTACTTTTCTATAAATCTTCTAGGAGTTGGTGTTTTGTTAACAGTATTTTTTTTTATTATTTCTGTGGTTATAGCTCTTTTACTGTAAGATAAAAATCCAAGCTGAAATAGTTCCTTAATACAGGTTGAGTACCCTTAATCCACAATTTTGATATGATCCAAAATCTGAAATATTTTGAGCACTGACAGGATCCTACACTTGGAAACTTCCACACTTGAGCTCAGGTGATGAATTGTGGTCAAAATTCAATCACAGCCAAGCATTGGGGTAGCTCATACTTCTAATCCTAGCTACTCAGGAGGTGAGATCTGAGCATCAAATTTCAAAGCCAGCCCAGTAAGAAAAATCCATAAGACTCTTATCTCCAATTAATCATCAAAAAGCCAGAAGTGGAGCTATAGCTCAAGTGGTAGAATGCCAGCCTTAAAGTAAAACAGCTTTTCAACATGTAGGGACAATGTCCCTGGCCCCACCCCACACAAAATTCAATCACACTAAAACTATTGCATATTGATATTCAGACCATAGATATAAGATATGTATGAAATATAAGTGAATGTTATGTTTAGACTTGGGGCACCTCCTCAAGATCTTTCATCATGCATATTTCCCTCCTTCCCTCCCCATTTTCTTATCTTTTTTTCCTTTTCTTTCTTTCTTGTGTCCATACCAGACCTTTTTCTCAACTTTTTCACTGAAAGCTGGTGTTCTAATCCTCACTTAAATGGAGGTAGAGTCTCTAGGACTATTCTGTCCAAATTGATTTCAAACAATACTCAGATTTCAGTCTCCTGCGCAGCTAGGATTACAGTTGTAAACCACCAGTGCCTGGCTTACATCTCTCCCCTACTCCCACCCCCCCCCCCCCACTACCTTTTTTAATCCAAAATATTTCTGGTCCTGGGCATTACAGATACTCACTTGTCTAAGACCCATATTTATAATATAATATATAGACCCTAAATATGGGATAATACTCTATGTTCTAGATTCTGTTTATTTTCTCAAAACCAAACACTGTACTCAAAGAGTTGGAGAGTCACTTACTGAAAACTGCCCTTAAGTCCACCCTCCCTTACTATGCTTGAAGGGTGTAATTATATTTGGAGATTATTATACCTGGCTTTATATAGTGGATTATTTTATCCCCACTCTCTTAAAACTGTTAACCAACTACTCTGTTTTATTGGTATGTCTTAACATATCAGCTTGTTTACTGAATATTTGAGAATAATTTGAAGCTATGGAAAGATTCAGATCGTCAGTACTTTTCCTGAACAAATTATGCTGTTTACCTAATTGAATCCATCTATTGGAAGTATTTGTTTTCTAGTCAGAAATGGTGTGGTATTCATTAAGTATTTACCAAGATCTGTGCTACATACTAAAATAATACTCGACTGATTTCTTCTATATAGTTTTCTAATATGTCTTAACCTTTTGGCTTTCTAGCCCCCAAGTTTCTTCTGTTACTTAACTGGTTGTGATTTGTTGTTTAATTAACTACAGTGAATATTTTATAAATGAATGCAATTATTATTTCATTATCTTTAATTGTGCAAAGAGCTCTCAATTCAACATACCAATTTGTGAGTATAAGGCATCTTATGATTACTTAAAAAATAGATTGGTAGGAATACATTCATTTCTATGTGTGTACTATACTTGACCATAGAGAAGTCCTTTATGATGATGGCATCACATATGAAATGTATGTTATAGTTAGTATAAAATAACTGTTACTGCTATATTTTCTCTATCTTATATACTTGGATTCTTCTGTAAGTTTAAACTGCTGTGACAACTTCCTTTTTTTTAATAATAAGTTTTTTATTATGAAAATACCGTGTAGAAGGGTTACAATTACATGAGCAAGGTAATGAGTACATTTCTTATCAAGCATTGTTGCTTCCTCCTTTGTTTTCCCTTACCATCCCTGCCCTCCCATCTCACCCCCCACTCCCCCACCAAAGTTGTAAAGTTTGTTTTTCGACATCTCATTGTTGCAATGGGTCCACCTGTATCCCTATTTAAACAATTTGTTTTTCCCCCTCTTCTCCCCAAATTATACCAACATCAAATACAGTGAAAACAGGGGTTATACCATGGGGGAGGGACATGCAAAGCAACAAAGAAATCATCTTATAAATATGTTAGAAACAATAGCAAGAAAGAAAAAACATTTGAGTCCTTATCTTGAGGTTCATTTCACCTAACATCAAGTTATCTGACCATTTCTGCTTGTTTCAGATATATACTAGTTATTGCAAATAAGGGAAACCAAGGGACCTATGTTTCTTTGGGCCTGGCTTACTTCACTTAATATAATTTTTTCCAAGACAACTATCTTTCAAATTTAGTTTCCTACCACTTACTGGTCTGGCTAAAAAAAGAAAACTTATTTTTAAAAAATTACTTTCAGTGTATTAAAACTATTTTGAGTGATGAATTTCACTGGGATATTTTCATGTACACCATGTTCTTTGATCATATCACTCCATTACTCTTTCTTATTTCCTTTCCCATTTTAAAATGTTCTTACACAGTTTTAAATGAGTTTTATTATGCCATTTTCATAAGTGCATGCCATGTACTTTGGTCATATTCTCTCCCTCCCACAGTTTCCTTTTTAAATTTTTTCTTTTGTTTTCTTTTATTTTTAAATCATGTAGAGAAAACACAGGGTATTTGTCTTAGGGAACAACTCTTAAATACAGAATAGTGCCTTTACCAATGTAGCCTAAAAGGGCCCATCAGTAGCCCCAAGATTCTTCCCACATTGAATTAAGCCTCTTGGTCTCTGTGTACTGATTGTACAGGACTCACCATTAAGCATAGACAACTTGACTGTGTTCATTTTGGCCCATTTTTAACCCTGTAAGAACTTTTGGAATTCTGTTCCTGGCATAGTCTTTCTCTGCTGTTATTGTTTGGGGGACAGTATGTGTTTTGGATCATTCATTCAGGTACTACTGAAATGAGAAATGCAGACTTATGTCCAGTCAGCATCCATTTACTATTGCTTTAGATGTAGTCTTTCTGTTGTACATCTGCGCTGGGGAATTGAATGCTGAGGCCAGAATAAAGCATGTTCTCTCATCGTTGCAAATTTTACTCTTAAAGAAAGAAAAAAAATTAAGTAGGAGATTTAGGTTTTACTAATATTGTGCCTGTCATATATCTTTGGATATTTAGAAGTGTCGAAGAAAAAGAAAGGGTTTATATTAGGGCCTGGTTAGAATCTTCCCTTTGGGAGCTTATAGCTGTGGGACCCATAATTTTGGGGTCAAAGCTCTCTTTGGTTTTGTCCAGAGACTTCCCCATGCTCCAAAGAGTTTTGATTATGACAGTGTTTTGTTTTTTAGTTTGTTTGTTTGGCTTAGTTATTTTTTTTCTCCAACTCTTCATCAGATTCGGCTAGAGATAAAAAGCTGTCACCAACTAACATGCCAAGTAGTATGGATTTTTTTTAAATTCATATATATATATATATATATTAGAGATCCTGTACAGAGGGGTTACAGTTACATGAGCAAGGTAATGACTCCATTTCCATGGGGGAAGAACATACAAAGAAACAAAAAGAAATCACATAGTACATTGTAAGTACACTAAAAAGAGCAACAAGAAAGATAAAATCTCTTGTGTCCCTATCTTGGGGTTCATTTTGCTTAGCATCAGCTTATATGGTCATATGTGCATAGCTTTTTTTTTTTTTTTTTTGGGTCCGGTCATGGGGCCTGAACTCTGGGCCTGGGTGCTGTCCCTCAGCTCTTCAGCTCAAGGCTAGCACTCTACCACTTGAGCCACAGCGCCACTTCCGGCTTTTTTCTTTTT